GTGTGTGTGTGTGTGTGTGTGTGTGTGTGTGTGTGTGTGTGTTTATGAGAGGTGCTGAGTATTATGGGTAGAAAAAGAGAGAGGATCCTATAGGGTATTAACTTCTTGGGAAAGCTATATCCTAGGGACTTTCTTTAAACAAACTCAGTGCACACATTTATACAAAGTAAATCAGATTACTTCCTTCTATAAATCGGTCCGAGGCTTTCCCAAGAGAGTTCTTTATCAAAGAATGTACTTAAGAATTCCCTTATACAACAGCAACCTAGTCAAGCTGACCATCAAACCTGTTGTTGGTGTCTAGTATGGAACTTAAAGTTTGCAAAGCATGTTTTCACAGATCATGCCGTTTTCATCTCTCACAGCCATCCTACAAAGTGCTCTCCCACAGGACAATTTATAGAATAGGAAATTGGAGTGCAGCCTGAGTAAGTAGTTTGCCTCGGATTGTGCTGTTGATAAATGATGGAGTAGAATTTGGCCTTAGAACTCTCGATCCTAAATTCCAGATAATGCACTTGTAAGATGACTTCATCTACAAGGTCAGGTTCCTGTCAGCTTTAATATTCAAAAAATATTCACACTGCCTTTCAGAAACTCATTTGTGATTGTGACCTGGGTGCCTCTGTGGCTTTGGTTTCATTCCTAGACTCTTGGGATGAAAGGATTGAAACTCCCCAGCTGTGGAGCTGGCTGGTCTAAAGTCAAATGTCTGTCTCCTACCTCTTTCTTGGATGTCATTTACCTTCTTTGACCTTAGTGTCCTCTATCAAATTTGGCAAATTATATCCCTATCTTTTGGGAATTACTGAGGATTAAATGAGATGAGCATTACACCTGGGAGATAAGTAGCATTTGATGAATGTTGATTTCTCATTTTCTAATGAAACAGGTGCTAAAATAAAGTTCAGTGGAGACTCAAATCAATCACACAAGGAATCTACTGCTCTGGGGCCAGTAGGACTGCTTTCTTGCCGACAAGTAGGTGTTTGTACAGGAGAAATGGAAGCCAGAAGAGAGCTTGAGGCAGGGAAGGCTACTGAACTCTCTTTTCGTCTGGGGGGGGTGGGGCATACCAGGCAGCAAACTCACAGTAAGAACAAGAGATTCCCTTAGGGTCCTGGACTGAAACAGAGACTGTGCAGAAAATACACGCACAGGAAGCAGGTAGGGAGGAGAAACAGAGAGCTAAGAAATGATCTAATCAACCATTTACTTAGGAATGAAGAAGGTGCTATGCAGAGGGCCCAAGGCCTTTGGCCGAGGCCACATGCTGAATGAGAATCTGAACAGAAGCCTGGCTGCCTTGCTCCTACACCAGTGCTCGTGTCTGCAGCCCACAGAGGGGACTGACCCTGTGCACTGCTGGTGTAGTCCAGTCTCCCTGGTTCCAGTATTCTGTTGGAGAGGTCAGTTCTGCACTGACTATACAGTGAAGCTCCCCCCCAAATCTTTCCCTCAGTCTTCCAATAGGAACACTGCCAGCTCAAGAATGAGGAAGAGAGGTTAGTCATACAATGTGTTTGCCTCTCATTTTGTCACTCGTTCATGTATCCACTCACTCCACACTTACTCACTTAGCATGATGTATGCCGCTCTGCTTCAGTCAAGAGGAAACTGGGATAGGGGCTGGGGCTGGGTGGGGCTGGGGCTGGGTAGGTAGTTCGCCCTTGGGTATGGCCTCTTCCTGTTACTAGAACTGTCAAGCAACTGTGTAGCCACAGACAATGAAATGTCTCTGTGCCTAGGAAAGGCCAGTCCTCTTGTAGCTGATACTGTTCACCTTTTCTACTTTGCTCCTTCAGTATCCTCTTTTCTACCTCGAATTCTAGTCCTTTACTGCTTCAGCCTACACACATGCTTAGCTCTCCTTTTTTTCCTTCCCCTTCCTTCCTTCCTGCCTCCCTCCCTCCCTCCCTCCCTCCTTCCCTCCTTCCATCCCTTCCTCCTTTCCTTCTTTTTTTTCCCCAGAAACAGGGTCTCACTATGTAGCCCTGGCTGTCTTGGAGCTCTGTGTAGACCAGGCTGGCCTACAATTCACAGAGATCTGCCTGCCTCTCCCTCTGGACTGCTGGGATTAAAGATGTGTGCCAGGCACTCTGTCTTTTAAAATCCTCTCCCTATCCTACACTCCTCCCTAGGCACCCGCCCCTTTCTTGGCCTTTCTTCTCACTGTCTTCTAACCAGGCCAGTGCTGATCCAGGCAAAGCCCCTTAGCCTCTAACCTGGTCATTCCAGTGCTCGCCTTAGTGCTGCAGCTCCCTCATCCTCTTAGCCCCTCGCTCTCTGTGCCTTTGGGATCCCTGTTGCTTAGTATCCTGGCTTGCTTTGTATCTTGCTTGTTTTTTCTACTCACTCTCTTCTAGATCCTTCTCAGTTAGAATTTTGTTATGTGCGCAGACCCCAGCTCAGTTTGAAATCATTCTGAGCTTTCAAGCTGGATATTTAGTAGGCATTTTAACTATTATGGTTGTCAGAGCACTGATTTCCACCCACCACTCCTCTAGTCTTTCAAGTGTTTACTTTCCAGCATCATCCATGAAGCTCTCCAACCCCCAAAGCTATGTGAGACCCATTCCATGTTGACTCCTTTTCTCATCTCTGTAGTCATTTTACCTGCAGGTTTTGTTGGATTTACCGCCAAAACATTTACAGTGTCCCTTTTTCCCTTCAGAGCTCCTTTCCTACCCCAAGTCACTGTCATCTCTTACAAGAACTACCACAACTGGGGTCCCCTAGCTGGTGTCAGTGCTTTCTGACTTGAATGTCTATAGTCTGTTCTCCCAAAAGTCTGAGTAGTATTTTAAAACATGGCCCTGCAGATACCAAAATCTCCTCATGTTGTAATTCTTTCTCCAAGTGCCCACCAGTCTTTAATATACTCACCTTTCTGTATGCTACCACACTAAACTTTCTTTCTGTCTTAGGGTCTTTGCCCTTGCTCTTCTTTTGGGGTAGGGACGGTCATCCCCAGCTTATCACTTGGCTGACCACTTTGAAACTCTCAGAAAGGACTCCCAGTCCACCCCATCTGAAATAGTTATCTCCTTCCCCTGTGACTCTTGACTGAATCATCAGATTGTATTGTCTTCACACATATATCTGTATCTGATATGTTTATTCATTCATTGACTAGTTTACTACTGGTTTCTCCCCATCCTTATGAATAGAGGGGCATGTTCTGTGTACTTCTGCAGTCCCAGAATTCCATACAATAGATTTTCACTAGTACTTGTCAAATGAAAAAGTGATTATACAGACGGGTTCAAGGTTGGACACAAAATGGATGATGGAAGTATCAATGATGAGAGCATTGGTGATGAAAGGGTGGATGGGAAGGGGGTGAGTGAAAGGGTGAGTATGGAAAGAAGGAAGAGAGACAGACAGAAGAGTGGATGGAAAGACGGATAGATGAAATGAAACATGTGTCTATAAAGATCCATGAATAAGAATAAGCAGATGGATGGATAGATAGGAAGATAGCTGTATGAAAAGAGAAAACTGGATAGATGCAATGCACACAGATGGCTGGATGAATCTAGTTATCTGGAGCTGAGGGCTCTGCATTGTAAGTGCTATGAAAGTCATTAGCTGTGTTTGTAGAGTCAAGCCATAGCTTGTGTCTTTATTATGGTATGATGGGATACAGTGTGGTGAGCGGACAGAGTGTGGTGAAGGGGAAAGAGGCATAGATGTGAAATAAATAGACCTGTGTGTGAACAAGTCAGCCACTTAGCATTGACCTTGAGCATACCACTTTGCTTTTATAAGCCTTGATTTCCTTAGCTTTAAAACTTGGACCATACCAGCCTCGAAGTTTTCTTATGAGGATAAAAGAGAGCAAAGCTGTGCGTGTGAGTAGCCAGTATGCAGATATGTGTAATAAATTCTTTCTTTCTTTCCAAAACTGATTGAATGTAGTCGCCATGTCTTATTTGAAGCACTTATTATGTAGCCTACATGTATGCAATAGGTACTTAATGAGTTAACTAACTTTAATCAAAAGGAGTCCCCATGCAGTCAACTGAGAGATCATCAGCAGTGGTAGGAGATGGACATATTATTTTTCTACAAAAGAAATTCCTTAAGAAGTCATTTACACAAGAGTGCTCCTAGGAACCAGGTGATTCATTTAAATGGCATTGCATTTCCTGAAAACTAATTGGCATGCAACTTACTGGAAACCCATCCACTGTGTAAGGCAAGGTCCTTTCCTTTCACAACTACTTGCAGTCCTTGTGATAGGTATGTGCATGTGTGTGTGTCCTCGTGTGTGTGTGTGTGTGAGAGAGAGAGAGAGAGAGAGAGAGAGAGATGTGGATGCATGCTTGTGTGTGAGTACTTCACAGCACCCACTATAGATGAGGTCTTTCTAGAAGCAACTTTGATGAGAGGCCCCTGCCTTCCAGCTACCTCCCAGGTCAGACTCTGGGCCCCAGGAACCTCTTGCCCTGGGCCTGCCCTCAGGAATGATTCATAATGAAGAGAAAAAAGCTTTGCCTTATGTTTCTTCCTTCTCCTCTAAGCGGCAGCAGGGAAGGTGGAGGGCTTGGAAAGGGGGGTTGGGGGAGCAGACTAGAGCCTGGGATTTTGATTGAGAGGCCCCATTATCCACACTCTTAAAAAAATAACCGAATCTTTTCCTTTTTTATCTTGACCAATCTCATTTCACGCTCCAGAAGAGGAAAGGAGGGAGGGAGGGTGGCTGGGGCCAGGAGGGAGAGAGGAGTCAGTATTCTGTATTTTCAACGCTGCATTAAGCACATCGCCACGGTAACCGGGCAGCAACAAGTGCCAGCTCAGCAGGTTCCCAGGGAGCAGAGCCCCCTTCTCTCCTTCTTCCTCCCTCCCCTCCCTCCGCCCAGGAGAACTCAGCCCACCTGCCTCCACAGAGGGTGCCCAGAGTGGGGGGGTGGCTGGTAAAGATTAACCCCCCCCCAGGGGGGAAGCAGGCTTGACAGAATAGGGCCAAGTTTTTAGGGTCAAGGCCAAGAAGGTTGGTCCAGGGTTGGTATTGGGGAGTCTCACATGTCCAGAGTTCAGAGCCCCTTCCAAAAGCTTCAGGTCCCTATAACTCTCTAGGCAGTAGAAATGAGTGAGCTCTAACTACCTATTCATCCTCAGGGCTTCCCCACTCGGCTCCTAAAAGACTAGGACTTTCCAAAGAAACTTCCAGTGTCCTCATTTCTCCAGACCTTGACATCATCACTGGATGATGCCTGATAGACAAAGACACCCAAATGAATGTGCAGGCAGGATTCCAGAACAGTCCACATGAGCAAGGAGAAATATTCTTAACTCATACCCTGTGGTATCCTCAGAGCACCTAGAACTTGGACTCTACTCTCTATTGAATGTGGGATACAAAGGAGGATATATTTCAGTCATTTCATCCTCATTCTCATCCTCATCATCCAGATTTACAGAAGGAGTAAATGGAGGTTCATTTGATTTGATTTAAACCACTGGGAGATCCACCTGACTACTTGAGGGCTAGGTTCATGTTTGGCTCAGTGTTTGATGCACACTCCTAAACATACTACTCCCTTTAGTGCAGGGACAGAGGAAGAAGTGAGGGAGCTTAGGTTTGAAGAAAGTCTGTCTCAGTCCTTCCTTTGCATCACGATGGGTTATGTAGTTGATCTGGGAAGAAGGACGCTGAGCTGAGGTGAATTAAGGAGCCAGGATGGTACTGGAGATTTTCTCTAGGTGTTTACAGGAAGGTATCTCTGTGGCACATCCTTCATGTCCTTTGAGGATGTCTGAATGAAGTATAGCCTCTCTACCCACCTGTGGTCACCCCACTCCTCCAACACTTCCTTCCTGCAGTATGCACGCCAGTCACTCAACCCTTACCTGCCACCATGCCTGCGATGGCAGAGGAGGCATAACTTCCCTGTCCACTGGTGGGGATGTGGGGTGGGTATCCAGGCAGCGTGGGCCCCACCATCTCTCGCCCTGGGAAAATACAGCAAAGAGTCATCAGTTGGCATATAGGGGGCTCCGATGCTACGGCCCCACCCCCCTGAGACTCAACAAGTCTTCCCTCAGACATTCCCATTGGCTCCTGGCATTTTCCAAACCCACTTCTGCCCTCCTCTGAGCTCAGGTTCTTGTCTTCTCCAGAGCAAAGGCTCCCCAAGCAGGAATTCCTACCGTTGTAGTCCTGCTTGGTTCCCAGCTTTATTTTCACGAATGCTATTATATTCATCCGCAAAAATGTCACAGTATTGGGGGTGAGGGATTATGTCTTCTGAGTCCTCATTATCTCCCACATCCAGCATAATAGTTGGCACTAATGGCCTAGATAAACATGTGAGGGGCCACTGGACTCAGAGCATCCATTTTAGCCCAGCGTTCAGAAGAATGACAACCAGGACCTTTGAAATGAAGGTGGTAAATGTATGACCCACACTTTCCTTTTTGGTGGTATGTGGCAGACATCACTAATCAACCACCTTTTTTCTACTGAGCCAGAGAGGACATTCCTTTCACTTGGCCTGGCCTTCCAGGTGGCTATAATCAATCAGAGTTGTAAGAGACATGCAATCTGTTAATTATTCTTGACCTAAAAGGCTGAGAGATAGTTAGGTTTTACACATGAACGTGATCTGTATACCTATCAATTGTATTTCTTAAAAGAAAAACAAAAAACAAGACACACAAAAAGCATTTTCAGTATGATTCAGTGCTGATCTACCCCTGCTTAACTCTAATTTATGGGTTATGCCTATTCCTTGGAGCCCTCAAAGCATCCCTGTTAGACCTCATGTTCTTGGCTCTGCCTCTCCTTCACACCAAAGAGTGAGAGCTTCCCTTTTGGGAGACTTCCTGGTGACCTTCTCTCCTTCTATCCCTGCTCAATAACCAGAATCCATTGCCTGCTCCCCTCTTCCATCACCCTATGTTCCATAAGTCCAGACCACAGTCTGCATGGTTCTTGGTAAGGGGACAATATACCCTGGTTTTCTGAGGTCTGTCTACGTGGTGACCACTGTCTCCGAGTATTTATTAACAACGGCCATTCCATTCTCAAAATACCCCAGTGTGAATAATGAAATTAGTTCGTAGTGATGTTTGTAGAACTTTTCAATCTCAGCAATATTGACATTGTTGGCTGGTAAAATGTTTGCTCTTTGGGCTGTCCTATGCATTACAGGATGTTTAGCAGAATCCCTGGTCTCTACCCACCAGATTTACAGCCCGTGTAACAGCCCAAAGTATCTCTAGACATTGCCATATGTCCCCAGTGTGGAGGAAGTAGGGGATAAAATCACTTCTGGTGGAAAGACCACTATAGACTATATCCATTTGATCCAAATCCCTTCTTCCCAGGAGTTGCCTATGAGACCCTGCCAACCAACATATCAGGGCTATCTCATCTATGCCACTGTTTGTCCCTTCACTTCATCTTTCCCCCCAGGTCCTTTATACCCAAGCCCCTTGAAGGGGTGCCTAGTAATAATAGGGTATTTCGTAATGATGGATAGAAAAGTACAACTATGAAACCCTGTAAGCTGTGAGCCCCACAGTGACTACTTCTGTTTTAGGAGATTCCCTGAGAACAGTTAGTTCATTCAATAAGCACTTATTGAGTAGGCTTTAAGTACTAGACACTTGGGGACAAAGCAAAGAGCAAGAGTACTCAACAGTGAAGCCAGGCACCAAGTGAAAATGGATCATAGGCTGAGATGAACATTTGGGGTCAAGCTCAATGAACGATACCTACATAGTCAACCTCTGACCTTCCAGAGAGGGGCTAGGAGCCAGAGACTTTGGGCATACATCCTGCTTATAAGATTTTCTATGTGCCCTTAGGTCAGTCACTCATGCTATAACCCTGACTTTTTTGTGTGTATGAGTGTATTGCCTGCATGTGTGTAAGCACATCCGTGTCATACAATGCCTGTGGAGGTCAGAAGAAGGTGTCGGATTCCCCTGGAAGTGGAGCTATAGATGGTTGTTAGATGCCATGTTGGTGCTGGGAATCGAACCTGGGTACTATGCAAGAATAGTCAGTGCTCTTAACCACTGAGCTTTCCCTCCTGCCCCTATAACCCTGTTTGTTTGTTTTTTTTTTTTCACATGCAAAACAGGGAGCAATGTGAGTAGCCTCACACATGCTAGTCCTACAACTCTGAAGTTATTAGTGTAAGTCAACCCCATGGTTTCATGCTCTAGGTAGACGTTGATTAGTCAAATGGACACATTCTAGAAATATTCACATAATGGAGTTCTTGCAGAAAAAAAATATTTTTGGAAACGAGCTGTTAGCATTCATTATTTAAAATGGTATGGAGATTTTGTGATGCTTGAACACTACTCTCTAATTGATCTCTTATGCTGAAGTATCAAAGTATGGTTGTCCTGGACCAAAAGGGTGGGTTCTGTTCACCTGCCATAGGGGCCTCAAGGGAACAAAGGAAGGGTTGGAAACACCAGTAAAGAAAGGGAATTTGGGTATATTTAAAACGAGGAGAAATAGGCATATTTACCCAACGTAAACCTTGAACTTCATGTGTAGAGTCTGAAGTGTGATCATTACTCAGCCTCCTTGTCTCTGGCCTTAGGTGAAACACCTGGCTAGGTATTGGAGACCATGATTGGGAAGGAGTGACGAGAAGTCTAAGATGCCTGGACAGCAGGGCGAGGGGGAGTTGGGGGACAAGAAGAGAAGGGGGGCTGACTTGGGCTTGATAACTTTGTCTTTGTTTTTCCTTCCCTAGTAGATAAAGTGAAGAAGAGAGAGCCAGAGACAGAGAGCCAGAGACAGAGAGAGATTAAACACTAGATTCAGGCCAGACTATGGATCAAGGACAGATTTCTTAATTTTTCCAAACCACAATCTTCCTGTTTGCCATACAAGGTGCTAATTCAGAAGAGAGCTTGTAACTTGGGTTTATCCTTCTTGGTTGGCACACTGTATCGAAGACTCCGAGGCCACACCTATGTCTCCCATGAATGAAGTGGAGTCATGGCTCTCAGGCCACCTATTTGCTAGTGCTAGCCTGTCACTCCCTAGGGCTCTTTCTCATCCTGGCAGCCTGTGGTCCTATGCTCCCCGGCCTCCTGATCTTATCCTGTCCCTTTCTGTCACCTGACACTATAGCTTCTTCAGCCGTGCTGTTTAGTGCACAGAGTTCCAGGGCACAGACTCACCTCAGGCTACAGCTTAGCATATGATCCCTCCTCGTGGGGCTGTACCATGAACACTAGCTCCCCTATTGCTCTTGTAAAGGAATTCGCTGGTCTCTGTTCCTCTATTCTGAGATTTTAATCTTCGCTTCCCCTCACTTACCTAATTTTCTCCCAGCAGGACAGATTTCTGAACCAATGGCCCAAGCAGACCCCTGAAGATCTCCCCTTATAAAACCTAACCCTCCTGGAAAGACAGGTAAAACTTTCTCTAGGACAACTTCCACAGATACTTGCTCCCATAGACTGTCCTAACAACTCTACTGAACTCTCTGCTTTAATGTTTTTTGTTTGTTTGTTTTGTGAGACAGGGTCTTCTTATAGCTCCAGCTGGCCTGGAACTCTCTATGTAGACAAGGCTGGCCTTGAACTCGCAGAGATCCACCTGCCTCTGCCTCCCAAGTGCTGGGATTAAAGGCATGCACCACCACCATACCCGGCTCTGCTTTAATTTTTTAAAGAAAAAGAATTCGTAGTGTGGGGCAGAACCCTTGGATAGCATGCACAGGCCTTGGATTTAATTCCTATCCCTGGAAAAAAAAAGTCTTCCAGAAAACCAGGAACTTTGTCATGAGCTGGAGACATTCTACCATGGTCTAGCATGCCTTCTTACCCATTCTGTTTTTAAGGTTCTTCATCATAAATTTATCCTTGCTATGTTTTCCCATCTCTTTTGTACTCCGACAGACTTCTGATGTGTCCCTATTTTTAAAAAGTTGACATAGGCCCTAGCACATGTTGACTGGCTACAAAGTGGGGTTCTCTAGGAAAACTCTAGGACTCCAGAACTCTTGGGTAATACTCTAATTAGAGGTAGAAGGCAGGAACAGAAAGCCATTAGCTGGAGGAATTCAGAGGGTAGAGGTGATTTCAGACTATTTAATTTTCCCCCTTTGATGTCTGCCCTCTATGTAACCCCTTTTCAATGCCTTATCTTGTTCTGATAGCAAGGAGAATTTATGGCAACCCAGAAATCTCTTTGGCAGGACTAAATATATTCTGTACAAAAGGATGGAGGAGGGTGCTGGACTGCTTGATGATAAACCTAACGGCAAGCTTTCTGAACAGCCTTGGAATAGCAAGGACAGGATGTTCTTGGTGTCACTGTCCTGGTCAGTGTGCTGGAATTCACCCTGGGAGGTCTGATGGGGACTAGCAGGAATTCTGGGTGAATTTTACTATTCTCCAAGTCTAATGCTTCCTCTTTCTTGGCTGACCAGAGAAAAGCTGAGGTTCAGAGGACAGTGAATCTAGAGATCACATTTGCAGAACCATCTGGCTAAGAGACTCACTCAGGGAGAAAGTCTATGAAGCAGGTAAAAGAGTTGTAGCAGGTGACAAGGACTCCTCAGGGGTCACACAGAGGAGGGGAGCCAAGAAGGTTCATGCAGGATTGAGCTGAGCTAATTACGGAATGAAAATGTACTGAAACTTCCTTCCACTCTCCTTGTCTGCAGCACATCCTGGGAATCATTTGCCCTCAGCTTCCTTCTCTTCCTTCCAAATTTACTTCTTTCCCCCTTGGATAGGTTTTCAGCTCCCAGACTCTTTAACTCATTCCTTTCCTAACAGTTCTCTATTCTACTATGTCTTCCCAACCCCACAAGGGCTCAGCTATGCATTGGGTATTTAGGTCCAATTTTGGCTAGTGGTCTCAGGTGGATAGTCTCTAAGAAGGTTTACAGTGACACCCTGAACTTGATGTAAGCACTAGCTATCTTCTGTCTTGTCTCTGAGCTGCAGAACTGGGCTTGGTTCTCTAAACTATAGTCTTAAGTCGTGTATTATCCTTGACCACCTGCCTGGACCCCAGTTCCTGCAAGTCTGGTCATTCCTTGCTTTTTTTTAGGGCCCTTGCCTCTGTGCGGAAACTCTAACATTGTGGCCAGCCATTTGTGAGTGCTCACACCTGCACTTCAGCAGCATCTGGGCCTGGCTTAGGGGGCCACCTGCCTCAGGACCTGCTGATACTACATTTTTGGTTGCCTACTGACTGCTTGGAAGGCCACCTGGTGTCTGTTGTCAGCTGACATGGATTGGATGACCTCCCAGTCTTACAGCCGGCCTAGAGAGAGTAGGCACGTACACCAAATTAACAGCTGGTAAAAGTTGGAAGCATCACCCCAGATCTTATGTTGACAGGGACACTTGTTCTTTTAAAAGGGTGATGGGATGGGAGAAAGTATGGGGCCTCAGGGTCAGGGAGTTTTCCCTGGGCTGTCCTAACTATAAGCTATACCATAGGCCATGTCTGTGTTGATTTATCTATCGGCTTCCAGCTACTGTCTCTTTCCCTCTCTCTCAGCTGGTCCTGCCAAGCCTCTGAAGTGATACAGTAACTGAAGAACTGCTTCCCCTAAACACACCCTTCACCCAGAGCCACATCCTTTACCTGCTTCCCCAGCCCTGGCCTCCCATTCTCCAGGACATAGAAATGTGCCCTGTGGTGCAGGCTGCCCACCCAACAGCAGATACAAGCCTTTTCTTGCCCTGGTCCCCGCTCTCGTTCAACTCTGGCTGATAGTTTCACTCAGCTCACAGGTCTGTCCACTTTAATCACTGTGCTCAAAACAAATGACTCATCCCTGCTGACTTCACTCTCTTGAAATTTTGAACCATGTTAACTTTTCCCCTTGCTTTGGACTCTTAATCACTGTCACACACACACACACACACACACACACACACACACACACACAGAGGGAAGAAAAAAGTCCCAGGTATTAGACAGAAAACACCATCAGTTGTAAGAAAGTATCCCTGGGCTTGAGTCAGAGGCTATTTGGAACTTCTGGGCCAGTGGCAGTCAATGCCATACTCTTTGGGAGCCATGGATTGTCAAGTCTAAGGCCGCTCTGGGGGAGCAACTCTGTTACTCTGATTGGGACCTGCCTTCTGTGAAGGCTTTCATTTTAAAGTACCTCTTAGGTACAACATACTGGAAAAACACTGATCCAGGTGGCCTGGGCTGTCTGACGCTGGGTTGTCTCAATGCCAGGTCTCCTTGTCCTGCTCATCTCTGTTTTAATATCTCAAGGTGGTAGGAATGGGGAGGAGGGAGGCATCACAGCCTTTGTCACTAATCACCTATACTCCAGGCGGACAGGTCTCCCATGCAGGAGATTTTCAGTGCTGAACTGGAAGCTAGTTGGCTTCCTTCCTCAGTCCTGGGACCTCTCCCACTCCAGCCCTTGGGCTCATGTCTGAACAGTTAGTTCAGATATCTGCAGACTCTAAGGTATTTCTGTCTTTGCCCAAACTAATTCTTGACTCTTTCAGACATTGCTCAGTTCATGGCTGGCTGGGACGATGTCGTTCTGTTGAGGAGACTCATTTGGGACTGGATATATGGGAGGACTGATGCTCTGTGTGCAGGCTCAGCCCCTACCCTGATCCCAACTAGAGACTGTGATTAGGCCTTTTTTCACTTGGCCTGTTTCCTCCTCAGGATACAAGAAGTTTGCTCCAGATGTCCCTAATCTAATGCGAGCTTTAAGGGTTTGAAGCAGAGGAACTTCCCCAACACCTTCATCTGTAAAGTTGTTCAGTCACTGAAGTTGAAACATCTAGTGATACTCAAGTATCCTCTAATGGTGCTGCCATTCCACTGGGCATGAAAATGGCCACGTATGAGACCCAGTGGCGTAGATCCTTATTCCTTTTCAAGAAGTAGTTCTAGAAATTAGCTCAAGAGACTTTTCCTCCACATTTTGTCTTTTTTCCCTTTTAACCCAATACCAAATGTTCTCACTTTACAGCACCTGGCCCCTTGACTTAGGTTCTCCATTTTTCCATGGGGCTTTGGAGTGCCATATCACCTCTTGCTGGCATCCCCAAAGTGCCTTTCTGATTCCTGACTTCTCCCACCTCGAGAATCGTGGGCTGAAGAAATTAAAGAATAGGGTAGTGGTGGGCTGGATTGGGGTCAAAGATGGGACTAGACTGAGACCAGAGGGCTTTGGGCTGGCGCTGAGGACCTCCCTCCCACCCCGTGACACCTGCACAGCCCAGGACTTCCCTGTCATACCTGAGAGGAGGGCCTGGCCCGTGAACTGCCCATACACGGAGGCAGCATGGGGAAAGGCATTGAAGGGTGGGACCGAGGCACCTGCTGGGCCCCCAGAGCCGACTTGCTGCAGATCCAAAAAGGCGGAGCTAGATAAAGAGGAAGGGGTGGAGCTAGAACTGGACAGCTCTGGGGTTTCCTGCTTTATGGCGAAGGGTGAATGAGGATCTGCCGGAGGGAGGGAGACAACAAGGAGAGAGGGATGTGAGATGATGGGGTGGGAACATGCACAAACCAAGCCATGAGATGTGGGAAGAGGGATGGGGACAGGCAGGCCTGGCTGCTGTAGGAGGGGTCTGGGGTGGGGAGCTGGGGACTACACAGTGTTCTCCGGACGGAATGAGGTGGGGGGCTGGAAGCTCTGCCTTCCTGCTGTGCCTTCTGCCAGTGTAGATGGAGAGACTGCAGTATGTGTGTGCTCAGCCTCTCCTGAAGGAGGGCATGAGGAGACCCAGGGAGGCCAAGGACTGAAGGCAGCACCTCTTTATGCCACTTGAGGCTCAGCCAGCACAATCCACTTCTTTCCAGGCCAGCACCCCAAACACCTTCCTCCTGCTAGCCAGAAACCTCTGCCATCCCCTGCCCCCCGAGCCCACCCTGGCCCTCATAGCTGGCTCCAGGTGACTTAGGATCCTCTGGGCATCCTACCTGCCACCACAGGGTAGGTCTGGTGAGTTGAGAGGTTGCGTCCCAGAGGTGTATTGGAAGGTGTCAGGGTAGCCTTCCCATCGTCCAGGGCACTGTTGAGCAAGGGCAGTGGGTAGAGCCCCTGGAGAACAAAGAGATGTCAGCAGGGCAGAGAGAGGCCCCTAAGCAAACCTGTCTTCCTATAGACCCTGCTGTCTGTCTTTGGAGTGGGTGATCCTAGTCTCTCTAGGAAATCCTCCTCTGCTCATTGTGTTCTGCTTCCTGCCCTTTCTCAGCTCTAAATGGCAGGTTTGATGGGGGCAATGCTTTCTCACTCAAAGCCCTACAGATCTCCTATGGCCTGGCCTAGGGCTTCCCCATCTAAGCTCCAGAATTCAAGGCCTATGGGTAGCATAAAGCCCAGGTATGGGATGGAGAATAGCCTTCAGAGGACCATGTCCTAGCTGGATGCTTGTCCTCTTCCTGTCTCTTTATGAGATTTGAGCCCAGAATATATTGTCCTTTAGGACACTGCTGAGGGCTAGAGCAGTTAGCACATGGGACTGTCCAGAGTCCTACACTCTTCTAGTTACTGACTGAGTCTTGTTGAGGTAGGAAATTCAGGTACAGCAGTGAAGACACTCACCCCCTCCCTTGTGAGGTGTAGCCAAGATTCAGGCTCTGGTGTTTCTACCTTCAATTGCTGCCCTAAACTGATGGCAGTGACCACTTCTTACATTTGCAAAGGTCTGACATTTGGGCTTTGCCTCTGTACTCATTGAACAGCCCAGTGACATGCAGCAGTGAGATTATGTCATTTTTGTACATGAAGAGTTTGGACCCAGAAGACAGTATCAGATGCTGACCCAGGTGCTCTCTCTGGTCCACAGAACAAGTGTATATTTTCTCTCTGTCTCTTGCTCCCTCTCGCCATCTTTCTCCTTCTCTCATGAGTGTGTGTGTGTGTGTGTGTGTGTGTGTGTGTGTGTGTGTGTATATAGAAACATTTAGTTTCATCCTGGGTATTCATTTTGTTTAAAAAAATTCTATCAGAGGGCTAGAGAGATGGCTCAGTATTAAGAACATTTATTGCTCTTCCAGAGGACCCTGAGTCAGTTTACAATACCCACATGGTGGCTAACAACTGTTCAGTTCCAGTGGATCTGATGCCCTCTTCTGACCTCTGCAGGCTTTGCATACACATGGTGCACTTACATACATGCAGGCAAAACACTCATACATACAAAATAAAAATAAATAAAATCTTTTAAAATTATATCAAGGGCTGCATGTGGTGGGGCATACCTTTAGTCCCAGAACTTGGGAGGCAAAGGCAGGTAGATATCTGTGAGTCAGAGACCAGCCTGGTTTTTATATTTTGACTACCAGACCAGCTGGGGCTACAGCGAGACCCTGTCTCAAAGCAAAATCAAACAAAAAAACAAAAAATTCTATCAAGTACTTGGAGTTGTCCTCAGTAAAAGTTCATTTTGGGTGCCTATCAGTTTTCCCTGACAGGAACAAGGTTGAGGTCTAAGGCACTCCTTCAGAAAATAATTTGCTCAGCAAACAGTAAGAGTATACCTCACCGTCCCCTCAACTCTCTGCTGTCCTTCCCAGGGAAAGGCGGCACTCATCTGCTCCCCACATACAGATCACACACACCACAACGTACTGTATAAAATACTGTGCAAAACTGAAATCAAGGAAGGTTCTATTGTTCTGTAACAGTGCTACTAAAGGCAATCACTTTCAGAGATTTCCATGGTGCTTGGTTCTCCAAGGAGCCACAGCACTTTCTGGTTGCATGGCGGGCACATTTGGAAGCTGCAGTCAATTCTGGAGGCCACCAGGGCACCATCAGCACATAGGAGCAATTACTGACTAAATGGTGCTCTGGTTCCCTTCTTCAGAGGGGGTCCACTTAGTGGCAGGGTGGAGCTTCTGAGAGCTAGGCTTTAATGAAATGGAACAAAATACCTAATTTCTAGAAAGTGTAAGGAAAGTTTGAAATGCCTTTTGTGTGTGTCGATTTGATGTCAGGATATTTACTCGAAATCAAGTTTCTGTTCCAAACCTAGACCAAAGAGAAAAAGAAAACTACATAGTTAAAGATTTGGGTGGTATTGCATCCAGTATTCTAACTATTCCAATGATGACTGGATTTTTTTTTTTTTCTTTCTGGGCTTGAAGTTGAATTGGGGCAGAGTAGCCCAATGCTTCAGAACTTGGCTGACTTGGAGTTTTGACTCTGTGATCATCTGACAGGAAACTATAGTCTTCTTGAACTCTCAGAGCATTGCTTTTGCTTATCCATATAATAGGGATCCTAGAATCTACATTACAAGACTGATGTAACTGTTAAGTATGAGTTTATGTATAGTACTTCTTTAGAGTACTGTGTAACATAAATGCTGGATAACCATAGATGCTCTGTAGGCAATGATGACACATGCACTATTTCAGGATTATGGGAAAAACCAGCTGACACATTCTTGGTCTCTGTCTTTATCATACTACCTTTCATTCTGTTGATCTGTTGATCTACTTATTGGTGGGTTTTGTAATATAGAGGACGAGTGATACAGATTTCTAACAATACCTGGGGGTGATATTGCAACCAGGAATGAGGCCACATGATATATCTGTTGAACACTCCCTCCCTCTTAATGATTTTCCAGACAAGAAGACTGCCCTTGCCCTTGCTAAGGTCAGGTATGAGTATCTACTTCTCTTTTGGCTCCCCAAGTCACAGAGCTTTCTGTGTCTGGGGGAGAGAATGTGTTCACGAGACAGTGCAGTCAGTCACCAAAATCAGAAAAGCAAGGTTCAGGTTGGGTGCTCTCTGCCCCTCACAATCCAGCCTGATGAATGAATGAGGGAGGAAGCTAGCGCTCAGTTTGCTCCTCTAGTTTGAGGGGTTGGAGCAGTTCAATGACTTTCAAATGCTTTTGTTTCATTTAGTCTTCACACAAGAATGTCCATGGAAGCACTGTCAAAAACAGGTTACAATGAATCTATATAAATGAAACTAGCACTGGAAGCCCTAAGCTCTACAACCATCTGCTTCTCCTACATCTTCCCATGCTCTAAGCCCTGGGTTATCCTCATGCAAATGGCAATGCTAGGCTGGGTGGACACAAAGCCCCCTGTTCTAATAGTCTCATTCTAGGATTCCCCATGTATGCTCACTTGTATGTCACAGAGGCTCTCTCTAAGCAAGCATGGTCCTTTGGGGGACTATGGTTGGAGCCAGGAAATGGCTCTGGGACCTAGTGGGTCCCCAGGGTTTCCTCAGTGGGCCTTTACTCTTTCAGGCCACGTAGTATGTGTGTATTGCATTTTGCAGGCTTGCTGTCACAGAACAGGCTTCCTTCAGGCTCAATGCTGAGACCCCACTGGCCTCCTGGAGCCATGTGCTGATTATCAGATAAGCACCCAGGCCCTCTTCCCAGGTCTGCTGATGGCTAGCTTTGTCTACACCATTCATAGTAGTCATAGCCAAGGCTGATAAAATCACTGACACAGATTGCCTAGCCAGTTGTGGGGGCTGGCCCTGGGCCAGCAGCTCAGCCATTCACTGGCAATGGTCCAGCTGATTACTGGCATCATTATCACTGTCTCCCTCAGCTCTCAAAGGTATACATAAGGGCTTGCCTCAAGCCAAGGAGGGGTGATAGGACACACCCTGAAGAATCTCCTGGACTGGTTGATTAGGTGTGATGAAGAGAAGCAGACACTGAAATCCTTGACAGATAATAGTGAATGGAGCTGATAGTTGGCACTGTGGGATCTCTGTTGGACTCAGTGTGGAAAGTCTCACATCTCTGTCTGTTTTCACAGAAGCCAACCCATTATAATCCATTTCCCCTGTCCTAAGTTGTGGAAAGAAAATATCCCTTTTGCTTATGATTTATCATTCTGGATTTCTCAACTAAGTCATTGGTTCGTTCATTTTTATATACCTTTGTTGAATAGCCATTAAAATTCTAGGCTAAGGATGTTGCTCAGGGGTAGAGGGCTTGTTTAGTGTGTGTGATGTCTTGAGTTTGATTTTCAATACCACAAAAGAAGTAATAATAATAATAACAATAATAATAATAATAGGTGATAGCAATTAAAAGTGTCTCAAAAGGCTACCCCCTGTCCTTAAGAAATGTGTTGTCTTTACCCACCTGTCCACTTAATACCACAAAAGAAGTAATAATAATAATAATAACAATAATAATAGGTGATAGCAATTAAAAGTGTCTCAAAAGGCTACCCCTGTCCTTAAGAAATGTGTTGTCTTTACCCACCTGTCCACAGGATTATTAGGCTCCATTGTGAGAAATCAACAGAAACCATGTGTGAGACACATAGAGTGATAGAGGCAGGAGGGATGAGTCATAGGTGAGGGGCAGGGACAAATTCATGGAGACTGTGATTGAGCCAAGTCATTGCAGCCAACTGTTTTTTTTTCCAGGCAGAGAAATGGAAACAAAGGCAAGGGAGAGCACATGGTGTGCAAGGGCAGAGAGGTGTGAATGAGGTTGGCTTGCTTAGGGTATGAGTCATACAGGATCCTAGGGTATGCAAAGGGAGCATAAAGGTGGGGCTGTAGGGGCACTGAGGTCCTCCTGGGAAGACTTATATGGCTCTAATCCTGTTGTTTGGAAAAGTCACTGATGGTGAAAGGCTGGCCCTCCCTGAGAGAACTGGGTTCAAAGTTCAGACAAGGGTTGGAAGAAGGGGGAGACACCGAGGCATCTGGTAAAACAAAGCATACCTTGAGTTGAACTCTGCATCAAGCATGTAGCCTGAGTCCATCAAAGCAATTGGGAGTTGCTTTGATGGCAGAGAACACGCCCTGCTCTGGCTCTTGCCCACCCCGTCCACTTTCTGCATCCCAGCTTCTTACCTGCTCGCCTTTGGTGTGGCTAGGGGAGGCATAGGCCTCCGGGTAGTGCTGCCGCTCAAATGGGCACTCAAGCGGCTCGAGGTGGTGCTGGCTGAAGGTGTCGGTGCGAAGGTGCTTTCGGGGACCGCTGCTGCTACTCTGTGAGTCGATGCTCAGCCGACAACTGTCTTGGTCACCTAGTGCCCCCCCCAGGTAGGAAGAAAACTTTCAGGGGATCCCTCTACCCAGTCCCCAGGCCAAGTAGCCAAAGTGAAGGAGCGGGTGGGCTAAAGAGGGAGGAAAAGGGGCAGCTAAAAGATAGGGCATGTGCCTAAGAACAGGGAGTCGAAGAACGCTACTGAGCCCTGGGCCATAGGAGGAAAGGCCTTTTCCCTATCAAAGCTTGAGCAAACTGCTCCTCTGTGTCCCACGCCATCGTCCAGTCCCCCCAACACTCACTGTCATCCATCTTTCTCTTGTTGTCACCGCCAGGCTGAGCAATTCCCAGGAGCCCGTTGATAGAGTAGGTGGAACCCAAAGAATCTGACTGAGGTGACTCTGGGGGTGTTACAGCTGAGCTGGGGACTGCACAGAGGTGAGAGGGAGAGGGTTAGGATGGGATCTGGCACTCCTTGAGGTCCTACTGTCACCACGGATGCAAAACAGCCAACTGCAGCTGTGGACTGAGCCCTGGGGACCTGGAGTTCTTTCTTCCAGGGCTTCCTAGAATGACCTTTGCTTGAAGTGTGCCCACCTCCCCATGTTCCACTGTGTCTCCCATGGGATTGGAAGTAGACAGCGTCAGGGTATGCACAGAATTGTGTGCATGGGTGTGCTCTTGTGTGTCTGTGTCTGTATGTGTCTGTGTCTATGTGGGTGTGCAGACCCGATCTATGTGCGAAGGTGTGGGAGCAGGTATGTCCCTCTGAACTCACTCAGCGTGTGCCCTGGGCTCAGGGACTTAGTGGCCACGCAGCTGTCCATAGGGAGGTTGAACGGTTGCTGCACTTTGGTCCGGATTATTCTGTGAAGAAGTAGAAAAGCCATCAGAGAACAGAAGAGGAAATAGGAGACATGGCGACCCTGGATCCAGGGCCACTCAAGTATCTCAAATGTGTCTCCAGTTCAACTAGCCCACAATTAAACCCATGACCTCACTCTTCATATCTGGATCTTCCTATCTCATATCATGACTGGAGACATGCACCCCTTAAGGCAGAAATACAGATGAGGCTTACAGTTCTGTGGGTTTGATCTCGATAACCTCCCCAGAGTTGGTCCTTCTTTACCTCTAATCGTTAACCTCTTGAGGAGCACCACTCCAACTGTGGCCTTCTAGAGCCACACAGTGGCTGGTCCACACACTCTTTCCAACTGATTTCCTGTTTTTCAGAGTGAGCTTTTTGAAATGCAAGTCAGCCTTGGTTTAATATATACTGAGGGCTGCCCACTACACATGTGTCAAAGGCAGGAGTGATGGCCATTGACCCTTCAGGGCAGCTTCTGCTGACATCTCTTATCCAGCGTACATCAGGCTCCCCTTATCTCTCTACTGGCTTTTTTTAAAAAAACTTTTATTTTTATTTTATTTTTTATGTGTATGAGTGTGTTGCCTGCATAGGTATAAGTTCACCCATGTTATGCAATGCCTGCGGAGGTCAGAAGAGGGTGTTGGATCCCCTGGAACTGGAGTTATAGATGGTTGCTAGCCACCATGTGGGTGCTGGGAATAGAACCTGGGTCCTCTGCAAGAACAGCCAGTGCTCTTAACTGCTGAGCCATCTCTCCAGCCATCTGTTTGCTTTCTTTCATCTTCTTGTGGAGGGTCTTATTAGCCCAGGGTCTTTGTATGCACTCTCAAAGCTCTTTTTTCATCCCGCCCCCTTTAAACTTAATTAACTCTTGCTCATTGTTTTTTACCTAGGGAACATTTTCCTAGCCTCCCCAAACCATGCTACCATAGGCTGGTCCACAGGCCCTCAGGCTCCAAGCCTCAGCAGGACTCGTAGTTGCATTTTTACAATGTCTGTGTGGATAGTAGGTTTGTGTTTGTGCTCCTATTGAATGGTTAGCTCCACAAGGGCAGAGATTTTTGCATCCCAGAGACTAACACAGGGCAAATGAGTGAATGTGAATAAAAGAACAAATGAATGAGGGAGTAAATGATTGATTGAGGTAGTGAGTGACTGAAAGATTCAACAAAGGCCAGAGTGCTTCAGTGAGAGCTGGGTTGGGGGTCAGGAAAGATCTGCTCAAGAAGTTTCTCTTATTGAATGAAAGAGGATGTGGTGTTTAAGGAAGGAAACTGTAGGTGTGAGGGCAGAGGGAGGCCCCACAGCACGGGCAAGAGAGAGAGGCCTGGGAGTGGTGACATGTGCCAGACCTAGAAGCTTCTGTCTGCTTCAAAATAAGGCCCTTTCCAAGAGCCCTGTTTCACCCAAGCCAGGCCCTTCAGGTTTCTTTTATGAATCCCCCAGAGGCTCCAGGCCCAACCTGATGCCAGAGGCTGCTCTCTCTCACCTGTTGATGGAGCTGACACTGGGCACAGTGTCATTGTCACAAACACCCTCTGCCAGAAGTCGGTCTCGAATCTCCCAGGCAAACATGGTGGGGTTCTGCCGCTTGTAGTCCCCAATCTTCTCCACCACCTTGGGGGTGGCCACTTTGGGCTTGGAGCCCCCTATCACTCCAGGTCGGATACTGCCAGTTTCGTAGTACCTACTCCAATAGAGAACCCCCCAAATTTACCCGATAAGCAGGCGGAGCCTTCAGGTAAGGATCTAATCAGAGCCTCTGTCCCCTCTGAGGTTCCTGGGGAGAGGTGAGGGAGTGAGACATGTCCCCACTCCTGCCTGGTCTCAGATACTAGACATTTCCCCAACTATCTACCTCCCTTGTTTGGATAGATTTATGTTGCTGCCAAACCAGACTCCTCCACAAAGCCCTTCACCCTGGCTCCCCTCTGTCCCTTCCCCCTGCCTGGCTTCCAGTGTATGCATCAACCAGCACAAAGATCTTCCTTGTAAGAAAGGATGTCTCAGTGTTGATGCTGTGGGAGTCACAGGCCTGCAGTGATGGTTTCTCCAGGCAGCTTCTCTTGGCACGGCTGACTCTCCGCTCCTTTGCCCGCCGGGCTTCACCCAGGGAAGCCAGCTGGAATCATCCCACCCTCTACTGTCTTGCTGGGTCAGCTTTGCCCTGTCTAAGTCTGAGCCATCTCCCTTACCCCTTGCATGCTGGTTTTCTGTCAGGTTTTATGGTGCAAGTTGAATCTGCCCTTTCTGGACTCTGAAGTCCAGCTTTGCTTTGGAGCCCTGGCCAGATCCAGCCCCTTAAGCTGAGCCTCCTCTTCCAGGGCCTATCTCTGGAAGCTGCTAGCTGTTCTGGCAGATCATGGCTTGGTCAGGACACCCTCTCCATTGTAGAACATCTGGTCTCTTCTGCCAATAAATAAAGCCCAGATTCAAAAAAACTTAAAAAAAAACTTATGTGTATGTGTATATTGTCTGCATGTATATAAGTACATCTGTGTCATGCAAAGCCCATGGAGGACAGAAGATGGCATCAGATCCCCTGGAACTGGAGTCATGAACAGTTGTTAGCTACCACGTGGATGCTGGGACTTGAATTTGGGTCTTCTGCAAGAACGGCCAGTGCTTCTAACCATTGAGCTATCTCTCCAGCCCAGTAAAGCCTGGCTTCTGAAAGTCCATTGCCATTACTGCCCAGACTGCAACTCTTCTTTGGGACTCCATAGCCATCTTTGGAATCCCTTCTCCTCGACTCCGAGAAGTCACTTTTCCCTGACAATCTCAGGCTGAGAGTCAGGGCTTTCTGTGGTTCATTAAAGCCCAGCCCCTTTGACTCCCTGAAGCAAAGCTTCCTCTGAGTCCACATATAGGTCGGCATATGTGGTGATGGTGCATTTGAACACCCAAATCCTCTATCTAGTTCAGGGACATTTTTGGTGGAAGTGACATTCTGGACTAGAGCATGTCAAAGGCTTTCATGCTCCCTGCCCCTCTGAACCCGTGGCTCAGTGGTTCTCAGCCCCGACTGAGATAACTAGAATTATTTGAATGAGGTGGAAGTGAGTGACAAACCTAAATTTGAATGCATTCCTCTGTGTTGGTCTGTGGTGGAGCCTAGATCCTCATCTTTTTATTGATTGTTGGTGTATAAATCAAGGTTTCCCTGTGCAGCCAGGCCTGTGAACTGCCACTAAGTCTCATAATCAGTAGTTCTTAATCTTCCATGCTCCTGAGTGACGTGCTGCCTGGTCACCTCACAAAAATCACAGGCCTGGCTTCCAGAGAGGCTGACTCAGTAGGACTGGTCTGGGACCTAAGAATTTGAATTTCGTCAAATACCTTCATTCCTTCTGTTGCAGATGCTTTGAGAGTTATGGCTTAAAAAGCACAAACTCAGATGGTAGGTGGACTGGCAGCTATGAGGTTGACCACAGAATGCAAGCCTTGCAGGATAGGTGGTCTGTGGTGAATTTCGTGCTTACCTGCCAAGGATCTTGCTGACGCAGCCATGACTGACACGGAGCTGGCGAGAGATGTCACATGGCCTTACACCCTGGTGGGCCAGGTCCACAATGCGTTGGCGGACCACTTCCGGCAGAGGTCTGCCATTCACAAAGGCCCCTCCCAACTGGTTCAGCCCTCCGTGGCCTAAAATGACAGTGTTCCCAGGGACAGTTGTCAGGACCAGGCAGTAGGGTTGGGTGAGAATTAGCCTTGAGTATAAGTGCTATGTGTAAGGGTGATTATGAACTCCATGGTTAGGTCCTTCAGATCTCCCTCTACTTATACCCCATCTTGCTCAGCCTCCCACACCCCAAGAAGGCTGATATGAGTGGTATGAGGTGCTTACCCCTCTGTCATGTGAGGGTTCAAGAAGGGCACATCACCATCTGGGCACCCTTTGGGTCTACTACATCTCCTTCAGATGCTCAGGCCTTGATTCCAAGTATCATCAATGTCCCCTCATCCCATTTCCCTTCATCTAAAGGCAGGTAAGGAGTGAGAAATTCAAGATCTTCTTAAGCTGACACTGAGTTGGGTGATATGGGGGAAAAATTCCATCTTCTTCCTGATTTTCCTTTTCTTTTCAGTAAAATGAAGGCATGGGATAAGATAATTGGTTTTTCCATCTGTTTCCTCTTAAACCATGGAACCAGATTTTACAAACCAAGCACAAAAGAAGCAAAGGAAAGATTCTCTGATTGAGGCAGAATGGACTAAGCCCTGTCAGTGGGTGCCTTTCTGGAATGACCCTGAAATTTCCCTCTCTCTACCTAAAAAATGCCAGGCTGAGGCCTCACTAGAACATATCCCATGGGTTCCAGGACCATCATGTCAGGCTGCAGACAGCAGTACAGTACACGGGAAACCAAGCCTTGAGTGCTTCTCTGACTTGCCCTTTGCCCTTTGCTTGATTCTGTACTTCATTCTGACCCCAGGCATCTACTCAAACCTCTATCTACTGAGTACCTACTATGTGCCAATCCTCCACCAAGTTCTGCAGCCCAAAGGCGAATACATTTCCTTACCTGCTTTTACCTCACAGAGTTTATCATAATAAGAGCCCAGACCAGCAAACAGCTAATTAACATCCCTCATGACCTTTTCTGGAATTGAGAGTTTAGAGAGGTAGTTATGGGAACCAGAGGAGTAGACTTGGTCCTGGTTAGGGAAGCACAGAGGGTTCTTAGGGAAGCCCAAGGTGAGACTGAAGATAAAGAAACGCTAGATGAGGGGCTGGAGAGATGGCTCAGTGGTTGAGAGCACTGACTGCTCTTTCAGAGGACCCAGGTTCGATTCCCAGCACTCACATGGCAGCTATGAACCGTCCTTAACTCCAGTTCCAGGAGAATCCGAAGCCCTCTTCTGACCTCGCGGCATTGTACGACATGGGTGCACTCACATACGTGCAGGCAATACACTCATACACATAAAATAAAAAGAATAAATATTTTTTAAAAAGAAACGCTAGATGAGAGAGAAGGGAGAGGCTTTTAGAGCCAGGGAGACATTATGTGGAAAGGTTTTGTAGTTACAAGGGTAGATATCTGTTAGATTTACCAACATGTTCAGCTCTGTGACATCACTAGATCTGTGCTGGGTTAATTTCAGGACTGAGATGTTCAATTTCTAACAAGGAGATCATGAAGAGAGTTTCACTGGCTTGATTTATATGATGTGAATGACTCAGCTTATGTGAAGAGGAGACAGGATCCAATCAAAGTTTAGGGGTCTGATCAGGGCTGTTTCTGGGTAAGCCCTTGTTCTATGGCCAGGACTGACTCTGACAGCTTGGGACTGGCTTTGCAGTCTTATGTTGACAGTGCCACTGCCTAGGCATGATTGTGTCTTCTCATTCCAGTGATAGAATCTGGCCATCTGGCTTGGGACGGGAAGGTATAAGAACCCTGGGGCAAGGGACCAGGGAGAGGGGAATCAGAGGGAGCCAGCCAACAAGAAGGGAGAGTCAATCCCAGATCAGTGTGCATCACTTAAGAATATTTATGGGCAGGGGTGGGAAGTGCCTTTGCTGGGCACACTGTACCCATTATCACCCACTGACTTAGCACATTCAGAACTGCCTAGCAACGTCTCCTCAAGGGCCCAAGCTGTCTTCAGCAGAACAGTTAATTTCCCTTAAAACAAACAAACAAACAAACAAGGCAATTGCCCTGGGCAGTAAGTCAGGAGGAGAAGTCTACTGACTGAACCCCAGTATGAGGGGCGTAATGGTCCCTTTTCCAGGCACAGCTTCTGCATGTTCTGTTCTAGGCCATGAGCTCTAGTGAGTGCTTTTCCACCCCAGCTGGGATGATGTCTTAGGGGCTTGCAGACCAGCCTAGGTGATAGGCAATGTGACTCTTAATTGCCCTTAAACTCATTCCTCTGACCCCTCACTGCTCATACTGCCCTCTGTGGAGGAACTGCTCCTCACTCTCTCTGTGTTGCCCTTTGGCTGTTTTGGGGGGGGTCCAGATGCTGAACACCAGGGGGCGACAGACAGCCATCCAAACTTGCAAGACGACAGGACTATTTTGTCCCCATTTTCCATAATTTTTACTTCATGAGGCATAACTGTTTCTTCTAGGACCTCTTTATGTGGAAGTCAGATTTCTTAAAGGTAGAGGTTCTTTACCCTTAGCAAATAGCTGGTTAAAAAAAAAACATAATGGGGGGGGCAGGGCTGGCATAGTTGAACATTTTTACTTTAAAACAACTATCTATCCATGTAACTCTCCAACATAATCAGTACATCCTATGATCCTAAATTTTCCTGAGCTGATTCAGCATCCTTAGAAACCCAAACCCCAGGACCTATTGAAGCTTATTGCCTGGCGGCCAGGATTGCACAGGGAAAGATAGAGTCAAATCTCTGGTCTGTGAACTGTGAATTCTCTAGGGCTTTATTTTATTTTCCTGACCTCTGAATGATTTCGTATTATTGTGGAAGGGCCTTGAGCCAGATTCCTGCCTTGACTCTACCTGTTTTAATTGTGTTATTTGAGTAGGTTTGATTGTTCACAGTGGTGGTATTGAATGGAGCTTAGCAGTACTTCCTGTTATACCTGCCAGTGACTATACTAATAGAGGAAGACAGGGAATGAAGGTGGAGACAGTTCCACCAGCTGGTAATCTTGATAGAAATGTAAACTTTTTAATTTTAATATTCACATAGTTGAATACTTGGTCCTAGAACTTGGGAAGTAGTTCTCAAATGTGAACATGCACCAGGCTTATTAAAATAAAATCTGTTGAATATAATGCCCTAAGCTCTTGAATCAGTAGGTTGGGGATGTAACCAAGAATTTGTGTTTCTTAGAAGAGCCTAGACTATTTGAATGCTGCTCCTCTGAGATCCCACACTCAGAACACTGGTTTAGGGTGGGCAATGGGCAATGGCTGGGTGAATAAATAATAAATAAATAATGTTCTTCCTCCAACCTTCTTCTAAGAATTGTAATTACTATTTGTATTTCCTGATACATATTAACCAAGTGCTAATGATGACTTAGGTACAAAGCTCTGGATATGTAACCTTGTATAAGACAAGAATGCTTACACCCACTTGGGAGGCACAATCAGAATCACTGGTAAGTGCCATGTTAAGGGAGAAGTCCTTTGGAGGAGCACATAAGTGGTCAGAGGGGAGTCCAGGGAATAACTAGGAAATAACCAAGTAAAGAATTTTCATAGGAAGCAAGAAAAATTACCTTGCATAAAGTCTTGGTGCTTTGAAGAAGTTGACTGACATTTGCTGCCTCTATGGGTCAGGCAAGAAGGAGAATTTGGAAATGCTCAACTGGCTGCATACGAAGGTGGCTTCTATGGGCTGAGGTTTTGAACTGAGTTCTGTGATGGAAGGGCTTTTGTCTTTCCTGTGTCCGGTGTGGGGGAGTAGACTTCAGGTGAGTTACCACCAAATGCCCAGAGGTGGGTGCAGGCTTCCTTCCTGCCCTGGGTGAGGGGCTGGTGCCCACTGTTCTAACCCTCTCTCTTTCTCTATGCTGGTTTATGCTTTGTAGGCAGGTGAGCCTTGAGGCCGGAAGACAGTCAGGAGTAGGAGTCCCCCTGGTTGGTCCAGAAGTAGGGTTGGAGAAGGTGTAAACCAGGAAGAGGTTTGAAACTTCATAAGCAAAGGCCTTTTGCATGTCTGGAGGACTGTGGGTGGGGAAGGGTGGATGTGTAGGAGGAAGTCTGGCTGCATGCAAGAAGGTTCTTGAGGGTGAAGGTCCTAGACAGAGAAATGCAAGTTTCCTTTGTCAGAGAGGACTTAGCTTTCAGTAAAGGAATTTGGAGTCTGCAAAGCCAGAGGTGATACTTGCTATCTAGAAGCATTGGAAAAGTCACCATTTGGTGAGGTCCCCGGATGCCCTTCAGTTATTTCTTCACCACTTAGAAGGCTCTGAGAAGTAAGGATGGAAGAAAGGAGCACAGGAGTATCACCTAAAACTCTTACTACGTGCACTGATGTCCACCCTTTAAGATATGAGAATACTTTTCTGTGCCCCCACAATCCTTTGCACAGTTACCTATCATATCACTGACTATTGACCAGCAACTTTATCTGTTTGATTCCTTTATGAATTCCTCAAGGGCAGGGGCCATATCTTTTTCTATATAATATCCGACACAGATTCTCCACTGTGGGACCCTCAAATCCCATTCTACAGAACTTTGTTTTTCTATCTGCTTGATCCCTTATGGTTTTTGCCTCACCTTAAAGTGACAATAGTTGAATGTGTTATACTGTGAAAAAAATTGTATTTGACTATCTAGGGATTGCTGCTTTAGCTCCAAAGAATGTTAAGGTGAGTGGAAGTTTGACCTTTGGTGTGGCTATAGTGGGATACAGTGGCTGCCACAGGGTGCTCTTTAAATCATACTATGTCTACACCCCTTTCATGAAGGAGAGGCCTTGCGGATGCTAATTTGTCTCTGATGTTTTCAGTCTGGTGTTGCCCTTCCCCGTGCAGGTCTATAATCTCTGAAACCTCTCAGTTTCTCCTTTTGACTTGGTGCCTTTATGGAATAAAGTCTAGGGACTTTGTCTCAAACCATGCCTGAGATCATGGGACCCCAGTGTCCCAAACTGGTACACCAGATCACACCACCATCCACAGGGTTATGGACACATCATATCCTTGGAC